GGCGGCGAGGCTCATCTTCCTGTCCGCCCACACCTCCCATGCCTCACCCTTCTGTCAGTCCCTACATTGGCTTCCTATAAAATATAGAGCTCAATTTAAAATTCTGGTTCTTGCTTTCAAATCTCTACATAATGCTGCTCCCACCTATCTATCCTCCCTTATACACAAGTATGTCCCGTCTAGGCCCTTACGATCTGCTGAAGACTTACGTCTATTTTCTGTCCGTACTCCCACCTCTGATGCTCGCCTTCAAGATTTCTCGAGGGCTGCACCGTTGATGTGGAACTCGCTTCCCTCCTCCGTTAGATGCTCACCCAGTCTCCACTCCTTCAAAAAATCGTTAAAAACCCACTTCTTCATAAAAGCGTATCAATGAAACTGTTAATAGCTCCTGACTGATTCCTCTTCTGCAACTGTCACTAGTCTTATACTATCCTTACCTTTTTGTGTCATTTTACCCCACTCCCTCTAGCATGTAAGCTCATTGAGCGGGGCCCTCAACCCCTCTGTTCCTGTGTGTCCAACTTGTCTGGTTACAACTACATGTCTGTTCATCCACCCATTGTAAAGCGCTGCAGAATTTGATGGCGCTATAGAAATAGCATAATAATAATAATAATAATATAATAGAAACATTTAAATACATAAAGGGAATCAACACAGTAAAAGAGAAGACTATATTTAAAAGAAGAAAAACTACCACAACAATAGGACATAGTCTTAAATTAGAGGGGCAAATGTTTAAACATAATATCAGGAAGTATTACTCTACTGAGAGGGTAGTGGACGCATGGAATAGTCTTCCAGCTGAAGTGTAGAGGTTAACACAATGAGGGAGTTTCAGCATGTGTGGGATAGACATAAGGCTATCCTAACTATAAGATAAGGCCAGGGATTAATAAGAGTATTTAGAAAATTATGCAGACTAGATGGGCCGAATGGTTCTTATCTGCCGTCACATTCTCTTTTCTATTAGAGAAAAATAGAAACTGATTCACTCCTCTCAATCTTATTTAGTTAATAAGCTGCAATGAATTACCGATATGGAAGCGGACAGTAAATGATTAGCACTGATAGCTGTTATTGTTTTTTTATTTGGGTATATAACATTGGCGGTAAATGGTTGCATTTGAATTTTAATTCCCTAGAATTAGGAGTTTAGTGAATAAACCCCATAGTATTTGAGTTTTATTTTTTGGAACCTCAGCCCATAGTTCACGGCCTTGAGGAGTAAGACTATACTGGTTCCAGCCAGTGCTGAGCCTTTAAAATGACTTTTTCTGTTGTCTCTTCCTTGTTTGCTGTGTGCTACATATATATGTTGAAAACAGAAGCTTCAGATCCGTCAAGGTCAACCTTTCACCCCATCGAAGCGGCTTTTGATTTTTATTAGATGTCAGAAATGCACGGCAGAGTCAAAGATTGATTTTATGTTCTGCACACCAGGATCGGCTGGGAAATTTACCCAATCTCCTCGGCAAACAAGCTTTTAGCAGAATTATTGACCTGAAAAGCATCTTTCTCTCCGGGAATGATACCTGCTGTCAGTCTAGTGATCACCCAGGCAGGGGGACAGCGACAGAGCCCTTCTGCAGACTTACTCTTCTCTACTGACTGGAGAAGAGCCATGCATTACAAAGCACTACAGCACTTTAGAAAGGGTCCTGATTTAACCTCTTCTTTGCTGCTAAGAAATTACAACGTACAACAGCCAATCTTGAAAACTAATCTAAAAAAATCACTGAGAACATGAATATGTATATAGAGGCGTTTACAGCTACCTTAAGGAGTTACGCCAACCGTCATAACCACTACATTGGGCTGAAGTTTTTATGATGCTAGGAGCAGCCTGGCACCAATCCCTGGTACTGGGGCAAGCTGTTTGGCAATTGTTGCCCTCTTACCTGTGTCTCGCCGGACGTAGAAGGTTCTCTCCTGCTGGCTGTGCCGATGTCCAGCTCCAACAGACCTGCTGAAGCTGGATGGCGCTTCCCCCCTAACCATTTATTGGCTGAGAGTGTCAGCTGATCACTATCATCCAATGAATTACATTTTTGTGCGTAGAATTGACATTAACCAGTCCGGAACTCTTGCTCTATGCTGACTGATATCGCCACATAGCTAAATGCTGCACATACAGACTCCAGCCACCATAACCACTTCAAATCACTGAAGTGGTCGTGGTGCTTTAACGCTGAACTGTCTTCTTTTTAAATCCTGTTTTTGCTGAGTGGACTCCAAAAACACTGAGTGCAGCCATCTGCTGCCGTTATAAGCATTTAACTTCCCGCATCTCCTTCAGGAATTGCCAGTCTAAAATACTCAATTCAGAAATATCCTTCAGCTTGGCTATTTTTCACTATTACTGTTTCAGTCTAGAATGTGGAATTCCCTCGACAATTTAACACCATTCCTGATCTAGTGAATAAATATCTCGTCGTTGGTAGATCAGACGTTTTATTAACCCACGTTACAGCCTGTTTTTATCCGCTCCAAGCCATTCTCCTACAAACCCTTTTGTTTGGAAGCTTTAAATTGGTTCTAAAAAATGCGCTGGAACCGTGTGAAACCTACACTACGGATCAAATGGGCATCTCCATTTTCACAGCTCCAGCTAGGCTGACTTCACAGCAGCAACGCTGTGGAAACTCAGCCGTCAGCCTCAAATAGCTCATTACAAGGGATGAACAATTAGTGATAATTACAGATCTTCTCAGCCAATGAATCTATTAACACGCACTCTCATGAAAGTGTAAAACATCCTTGTATGAAAGATGCAGTCCTCAAATACACAGTTATCATGTACATCTCTGCAGAAGTGTGTGTGTGTATCTGTCTCCAACAATGCTAATTTTACTTTTGTAATAAACTATAGAGGGAGTGTAATACACAGCTTACGCCAGGCAGTCAACAAGAGCTTACAATCTAAATGCAAGCTGAAACAATGAAGGTATTTTGTACAAAGGCCAAGGCTAGTTTTAGGCTATTTACCTATAGAAACATGAAAAACAGGACTGTTAATTAATAACCTAATGCAATGTCATGTTTATACTTGCTGTGATTTAAAAAACCATTAATAGCCTATATAATATTGTAGGTGTACTTTTGTATCTGTATATTGTATATGCCTGTATTGCATTTGTGTAATATTGTATGTACCGACTTTGTACCCGTATAATATTGTATGTGCCCACTTTGTACCCGTATAATATTGAAAGGTGTGCATATACATATTGTATAAGCTGGAAGGAACTTCTAGTGCCAGATTAAATCTTTTTATTTTCTACTGTGGGAAGATCTCTCTGAAGTTAATTATTAACTCAATCCAATTCATAAACTTCAATTTGGTCACTATTTCCTTGTCATTTGAGCTTTCTCTCCAAGCAAATAAATCTTCTCCAGTCAGTGCAGTTTGGGTAATTTTCTCTGCAAGGTCCATATTATGCATGCAAAATAATGTATTGCTTGTGCGTCCTTTAACTAATGTGTAGATAATTATATTGCCAACAGTGATGAATTTATTGTAAAACTAGTCCGCCCACCCTACCTCCCCACACACTCCCTCCCACAGCAGTAGTCCGAACAGAAGTGTCCATATGAAGTAATGCCAGGGAGGGAACACGAAGACTGTAGTCCTAGAATAGTGTATACGGCAGAGGTAGATGACCTTTGGCACTCCAGATGTGGTAGACTAGATAAACCATAATGCTCTAGCAGCCACAATGCTGGCAAAGAATCATAGGAGATGAATTCTGCAACATCTGGAATTGGTGAAGGTTGCCTATTCCTGGTCTAATGGGAGAGATGGCCACAAAGGTTGGGCAGGATGGGGAGAGAGAGGTCAGGGAGAATGATTGTGACTGGGATAGAAGGGTAAGACAGTAAGTGAGAGTGGAAAAAAGGAAGAGTTATGATAAAGCAGGATAGGTAAGCATTGGGCCAAGACAGAGGAAAAGGGGATGTAGTAAAGAGATTGAAGATTTGGAAAAGGGGTTCTAGTGAGGAGAGAAGATTAGGGGGAAAAGGGTTACGGTGAAGAGACATAAGGTTTGATAAAAGGTTTAAGTTGTGGAAAGAAAGACAGAAAAATATTGAGTGGTCTGGGAGAAAGGTGAAGGAGATTACCCAGAAAACAAGGCAATAAGCAGAGATAGATTAAATAAGAGAGGAGTGAAAGATAAAGAAAATCTGGGAGCAGGCATAAGGTGAGAAGAGAGATGGTGTGGGAGTAGGGTTATGAGGAGAGAAGATTTTAGTGAAGAGTTATAACGAGGACAGAGGTGGTCTTGGTGAAGAGTTATGGCAAGGACAGAGGTGGTCTCTGTGTAGTGCTGTGGTGAGGAGAGAAAACCTTAGTGAATAGTTATGGTTAGGACAGAATTGGTCTTGGTGTAGGATTATGGTGAGGAGAGAAGGTTTTAGTGAAGGGTTATGGTGAGGACAGAGGTGGTCTTGGTGTAGGGTTATGGTGAGGAAGGAAGGTCTTCGTGAAGGGTTATGGTCAGGAGGGAAGGTCTTCGTGAAGGATTATGGTGAGGACAGTGTTGGTCTCGGTGTAGGGTTATGGTGAGTAGGGAAGGTCTTAGTGAAGGGTTATGTGAGGACAGAAGTGGTGTCGGTGTAGGGTTATGGTGAGGAGGGAAGGTCTTATTATGGTGAGGAGTGGGCAAATAAAAAGAGAGATAAAGATTAGAAAATTGTAATATATTGAGAAAATCGAAAACTATAAAGAAAGTCAATGGAGAGAATTACCGGTAAGTGTGAGAGGATAACCAAAGCAGTTATGGCAAGAAGGCATGGACAAGAAGAAGTGGAAAGAGAGACTTATTCGAATGGAGATGGAGAGACCTGCAGGACAAGACAGATAAGGGAACGGAAGCGTTTTGGCAGTGACTGACGGCATTCAGATGAGTGGTGAAGGAAAAAGTAAAAACCAGACTGAGAGAAGAAGAGGGAGGTTGACAAGCAAATAATGTATTACAAAACATGAAACCAAGACGTAGATATAAAAAGATAATTTATTTGCACTATGGCATATTAACACGTTCTAAAACCTCATGTTTCTCAGAAGAACAAGTAAAGGACGTTTATAATTACAATAGGTCGTTGAATAATCATAAATATTTTTGACTGCCAGAGGAGGTTACAGCCCATTGAAATGAAGGAGAGGACGGGTTAATTACTGCATTCGTGATCTAATATTAATTCATCCAGTCACACAAGCAGAAAATCAATTCTCTACAATTTATTCCTATATTCCACAAATAATCATCTAACTTCCTATCTACTGATTTCCTCTGAAGCACCGTTTATTTTGTAATCATTAGTAAATCATCCATATTAATGTCCTGTAACCCCTCGTTCTACTCCGTGCCTAAAGGGTTAAATTCTATGTTATCCATGGAAAGGGCTGTTTGAGTTCCAGTCATGGCATTAGACTTTCTGCATAAGACACTCAAAATACACTGTATAGACGGGAACATTCCTGAGAGAGTGCATTTTGTACAGTTTTATGGCTGCCACCGGGCCGTCCCTATTCAGTAATGTACATATGACAAACTAGAGATGCAGTGGAACTTACAAATTATTACATAAAACACTATAATCTGATGTTCTACCCCAATAAGCACAGTTTCCCGCAGTCTAGCACATTTCTGCACTAATCCAAAGGGACATCATAGAAAGACCATTGAGGGAGCATAGAAAAGATCCTATCATTGCAGTGCTGGTTATAGGAACTGTAACAATTTGTGTAGATCCTCAAAGCTGTGGCTTCATTTCCCAAACCAAGTTCTACACAGTTAGACAGACCATTTGCTGTGTGAAATACAATGGCTTGATTACCTTGATATGTAACAACTATGGCTGTAAGTGAGCTTGAAGATGGCAATCTTCCTATGATTCAAAGAAAACGATATAATACAAATACAGAACTAAGCTTATTTTTGCCCATTTTTGCTTTAAATGCATTGTTCCGAATTACATCAATAACTGACACCTACCAACCCTCAGCCTGTCCTTTGCATGGATGGATATTACAATCCAATACATTGACTTATATTAAGACCAGAACTAAGAACCAGAACTAAGAATCAGTACACGCAATCAGTGCGGAAATTCTTTAAGAGTAGACTAGGTACGCAAATGACTTTATACTTGCCAACATCAAATATATTTAGCTTCTAAATATGGCCTCAATTTAATATTGTTGCATAAGTTTTTGAAATGATTTAATATTTTTGGACACACTTTTAAAACAATTTAATATACTAAAAATATGTTATTAAAAGATATTTTTGATAAATTAATATACATTATTATTTTTAGATTTTGAAAAAAAATTTTTTTAAGGTTTTTTCCCCCCCCAAAAAATAAATTAAATCATTAGAAATGTGTAGCCAGCAATATTAAATCAAGACCAATGCCGGATATTATGAATTCAATTTTTGCATTGTTTTAGATACATTTTTAAAATTATTTAATATTATGAAAATATTTTAATTTTGAAATAGATCATTTTTAAAATATATTTTATATATTTTTTGTTAGTTTAATATTTTAAAAAATTAATTGTAAAAGTCTTTTTTCCCTTTGAAAAATATTAAATAATGGCCAATGCTGGATATCATAAATGTAATTTCTGCACATTTCCTGCAAGTGGTCTACAATAGATATTATAATCTATAGTCTGAAGCGGCCAACACAAAAATAAAATAAATCTGGGGGTTCTTTAACTAAACTGGAAGTTGGGGGGAGTTCTAAAGGGGGTTTTGCAAGTTTTGCTCCAAAGTAGGAACATGTTTTGAATCGGGCATTTTTGGCTTAAATCCGCAACTACCTTTGTTAGTATTTCTCAGATACCAGTTTAAGAAATAAAATCCAGAAAGTGTTTACACAAAAACACACATCATTGTGGAGATTTAAAATGTCCATATAATATCAGGCATTAATAGATCATCCTAAAGCCTAGTACCTTGTACAAGAAACCATAAGAAGAATGTTACAGTACTCCAAGTAATCTGGGTATGTCTAACCCCAAAGCTTCTGCTACTGTGATTGGACTAATGGCTATTGTGTTCATTTAATATATTTATAAATATAAATGTATATATAATAAAAATGTGTATATATAGACTCTGGATACTTTTAGAACAATGTATAAAATTAACTACTCTAGTTGCATGCAGTCTAGACTCTGCACAGTGTGGGAACTTTGTAGGTTCATATTGCAACATGACGAATAAGGCATTTTGTGGTTGCTGGGAGGTCTATACAGACATTAAGTTTTGGTAGCTGCTGGTGTGGAAGAGCATTAGAACGGGAGTGAGCTAGTCCTACATCTAGCCTTTGAAAGATGCTTGGACTTTGCGGCCATTGAGTGGCTGAGGAGGACGGAAATTGTTGACCATTTGAATTCGTTCGTCTTCCTCTTCTCCGGAAAATAGCAATGTCTTCCGGAACCTGTCCATCTACAAAATGAAGGATTTAGGATGTTAAATGCTGGACAATGTGGTTTTGAAGTACATATAGGAGAAGAACTTTTTAAAATTCAATATCTTGCCTGCAAAACATTTCCTGTAGGCTCGTTTTAGACTATTTTTGATATTTTCCAGTTTGCATATAAATTTCTATTTTGCTTGTTCTATAGAAATGTTACTGAATTTTGTAGGAAATGCCTCTAGGGACACAACTGAGAAATTACTGCGGGGACTATTTACTGAAAAAGAAATACAATTCCGACATTTTAGCTAAATTTTTATATAGTCCATATAACATTGTAACTTTTTCTTTCTATATTTTAACCTCTTTGTAAAGGCATTAAAAAATACAGGAAATCGAATACTGTAATGAGCATTAATGAGTCCTAATCATGACTGCACCTTCTGATAGTACAGGTGTTCCACCTTCTTACAGAGGCAATCCCAAATCCACACCCCATATCTCGGCTAAAAGAGGAGGAGGCGGCACATTGCGCTCCGCACACATCCTGCCTTCTTTGTACACACTATGACGCTTTGTAGCTCTCGCATTTCGTGTGTTGGAAAGTAAGAGTCATTGGACCCTTTGACCTAAAGAACAATTGCAATCTATGGGCAAACAAGTGATAATTAATAACTAATGCATAAATGAATCAAATAGAGATTGGGTGCATGATTTAATCTTCTCGCAGTGTGTTTGAGTAGCTGAATGCATTTTGAGAACATTAGCTGAGTAATGCAGGGAGGGTTATATGAACTATGGAGTTCAGGGTACAGACCAATCATGGAGGTGTGAATGACCACATAGGGCTGACACTTAGACCAGCCAATTCCAGAGCCAACGTTCATGGTAGGCTGTGGAATCTTCTCATTGTGATCAGGTGTGGAACTACCAAAATGTATGATCCAATCAGGGGACCTTTAAAATCCAATCAGGGGACCTTTAAAATCCTTCTCAGCGGTTTGGGGGTCTACAGTGGGTTTTCCGTGGCAAATGGTACCTTAGGGTTTGTTTATAAAAGTGACGAGAACATAAAAGTGGCACAAAGTTCTAAAAGTAGATCAATCACTGCGGATACCAATGGAATCAGCAGGTACATTCCATTGGTGACCACTTCTTAAAAATCTCCCCCATAGAACAGCTTATATATATATATAACACATTTATCATCATCGTCACATTTATTTCGTTCTGCTGAATTCATTCAAACCAGTGGTTCCTAGGATCAAATGTTAGACTCTTACAATCAGTTGTATCCACACAGACACACATACCTGTTTCTCTGACACCTTAATAGGTTCTTTTAAGACGATCCATATTACACTCTCATTTAGCGGAGGGGTGGTCAGAGAGCCGGGGTAAGTCCAGTACTCTAGGCTTGACGGCAGCAAGCATTTTGGGTTAAAGTTATCAAACTGCGCCTTAGTTCCCTGTAACACAGTTAATGTTCGGGAGTGAATATTTGAACAAGTCACTTAAAACAAACAAGCTTTAAGAAGCGTGAACTTCAGGGATCAAACGATTAACCTTACACATAATCTAAATGAAATACGGCAATGCAAGACGTTCTGGTGTTTCATAACATTTAAAACATTGACAGTATAATGCCTGTATCACTAACATGCAATCTATAACACATATCTATCCGGTTTCATTTATAATTATATAACACATACATAATGCACAGGTGATTAACACACATTTATATGAAGAAAGAGCTGAGATGCTCTGATTTTTTTTTTTTTTTTTTTACACTCTATAGTACTACTGCGCTTAGACTGTCGGTGCTAAAGAAACCCAATTTTTGTTAGTTCTAATCTTGTTTTATTCTTTATGTCCCACATTACTAAGACAGTTTTGTAGAGTTTTTTTTTTATACGCTTTCAAATAAAATAAATTGGCAAAATATATCATTGGGTTTTTTTCTGATAGGAGTTTTATGAAATGTTTAAATGTTCTGTGTATTGTTTTGTATGTTTGTCGATTCCTTTATATGTTGCGTATAAATTCTAATTCTTTGTGGCATCCTTTTTTACCTCTAAGGAAAGCACATGGCATGAATTTAAATAATTATTTGGATTTTCAAATAAAAAAACCTTGAAGGTTTAAAATATATTTTTGGAAAAATTTTTAATAGAAGCAAAAAATTATTTTATAAAACACACCGACACCAGGAAAAGAGCGTTTCACTATAATTTGCTTCTAACAATATATCCGCCCATAATCCGTATTATATTTTAACCCTTTTAAAGACCAAAGGGATGCAAATTTAATTTATAAAAAATTATGTAATTGGAAAATATCATGTTACATATCGGGAGGAAAATGGTTTGTTAGAAGAATTGTATTTTCTGTTTGAATGACATCAATGGCGTTTTTTTGTGATTTTTTTAAATAAACAAAACACAAAGCAAAACACTATAAAATCTGCACAATGGGAAACCTATTTGAGGAATCAAATACAAAGAAGGAAATTGAAGACATGAAACAGGAGAGTTTGAAGTGAAATTTGATAGAATGGTTTTCCGATTTCACTGCTCCTTCTATACATTGTGCTGTCAATACACATGGGTATAGAAAACCTAGACATTCAGTGATTGTATATCCAGTGCTTTATATATATCTGGGCTATTTAAATATCCTTTACTATAACCCCATGACCAAACAAAGTGCTTGTATAATGAACAAGTACCCATCCACCTACAGTAAATACATTGAAATAGTTTGAGGACAAAAAAAAGGATTGGTTTGCTTTAATCTAATGGCATATTCGTGTAATGGAGCAATTATTTTGTGACACTGATATGGTAAGCAACATAAGTAAGGGTATATTGTACATTAAGGGTTCAAACAGAATGCAGTCTAAAAATGCTTAATGATATTTTTTTAGGGTTTGTTTGCTGAACAAGTCAGGTCAGTAGTAAAATGCGTTGACACAAGCTGCTTCAAACACCTGAAAAGCACCAACAAGTGCAAATGGCTCTAGCATAGTGGATGAGCACCTCGACTAGCTAGGAGCCCTTTAGGTTTCGCAGCTTATTGCCAGGCTTTTGGGTTGGCATTTTACCCTCTAGATAGAGAATGGGGCATTGAAATCTATCCAGTCATTCCACACACAATTCCACTCCATTACTGCCATTTCATCACTTTTAACCAGAAATCTGCCAGTTACCTGCCTTAAATGCAACCTCTTGTAGTAGCAGAGATGGTCAAGGGTAGCCCACGGATGTTTCAGAACTTCCTTGATGTTCTGTCCGTTTTAAATGATTCTGGGATTTGTAGGTCTTTGGCAGTTCATTTTGGCCACAAATGTACCAGAGAATAATGGCAGACTCTCTAAACCTTGTATAATATATTGACTGTACAGAAATTAAGCTTTAGTAACCCCTTAAATGTAACATATCGCCATTAAGAAATTACAAATCTCATCTTCACACTGACAAAAATACACACACACATCCCTCTATTCTATTTCACACTTGGTTTCACGGTGCTGACATGTATTTAAGGGTAAAAAAAAATGGAAGAACTTGTTTTTATTTTACTGAATTTAAACTTACTTTAAACTTCACCATGTACAACGCGTCGGTCAGTCTGCTGAGCCCTGGATGTTGTCCACCAGTCTATAAAAAAAGTTTGGGAAACACGTCTTAGTATCGTATGTAATTTAAGAAATGCGTCACGTGTTTGCATCACAAGACTATAGCTGAGTTTGAGATTTTTAATTTTTCTCTAAATTTTGCAGTTTGTTTTTCAAAGACATGACATCAAAGACATGATATGACATGGTCTTTCCTTCTTCACTCACTGCAGTGACATTATCAGACCAACTAACAAATCGAACACTGTCTGACCCAAGGTGCTTGTATATGGCTGAAGGATCCTATTATATACTAAACTTAGGGAATATATATATTTTTTTTATATATACTTCATTTATTAAAGAATACATTTCCTTTTTAAAACTTGATGAAAGAATTATATTAAAAATAGTTTTAAGGGGACAGTTGTCTTTTAAGCTGTTCATCACTTTGAGAACACAGCTTTGTAGAGTAAGGTACAGACTCTCTGTGGATTCTTCAGTTACAACTATGGTCTATAGTTCTCTTGAACTCGCTGGACTTTCTCGGCTCTTGTAGATCTGCCATGTTTAGGGACAAGTCTGGTGTGGTTAGAAAGATCTGGAGTGGGGTAAAGGAGGTATTGATCAGAATTAAGCAGAGATGTATTAAGTGGGGGCAAAAGGCTCTTAGACAGACAATATGGTCTAAAATGGACAGCATGGCTTGAAGAGGGATTTGAAATGTGCATTGGTCTGATGTGAACAGAGGGGTCTACCAGGCCAGTGTGTCCGAAGGCAACAGAGCAATGTGATCTGAAGCTTTCTTCTTATGCTACAAAACTAAAACATTTTTTTTATCAGATAAAATCCTTATTAAAACAGGATTGCCTTTTAATTAAGCGTGATGTTTTCGTAGAATATATCTCAGCAGATGATGCTTTTGTCTGGAACTATATATTGAACTAATGCCAGAATTTTCATGATAAACACTGCAGATTATTACTTGGTGGCCGTAGTCCTTTTCTCCTGCCTTTCACTGTCGCCCTGCTATCACTGACATATTTTATTAGTACTCTGATTTCTTATGTACACACCAGGAGGATACTCACATCCAAAAAAATGCCGATTACCGCCAAGCCATCTGATGCAGCAGCTGCCTCTTCAAATGTGGGGTACGCCCTGGCGTTCCAGTGTACGAGGTGGAGCTGGAGGTGACAGTTTAAATATGATCAATACTTTGTATCACAATTTATTCCACAAGTTCTAACAATATATCAGATTTTAGTTTTTTAGCTCCCGCACTGCCATAGACATGCAAACACAAAAAGTTCCATGATTGAGGTAAGTATATTAAACGCATTTATTAGAAAAAAGTAATATATCGCCCCAGTTTCTTCTGATGTTTCTTAATAAAACACAACTCACCAAGTAAATCACCTGATGCATTTCATGTGTAAGCGCCACCCATGATTGCCTATGATTAAGAGTGATTACACACAAAACGCGTCAGGTGATTTATTTGGTGGGCTATGTTTTATTAAGAAACAGCAGAAGAAACAGGGTTTCTTTTTCTGGGGTGATATTTTACTTTTTTCTACTAAATGCTACGCTTTACGGCGCTTAGCTGTATCCTGAAGCTTCAATGTTTGTGTTTGCATATGATATGGTGTCCCCAGCTTCGGCGTGTATCCGGAGCCCGGGTCGTTATGCAGGGCTGGATGACTGCTCAAGAAATTAATGTCGACCGGTGAGCTATAACGCTGTTCAAATTTAATTTGACTGCTATAGACATGCTTAATGCCAAGATGAGGGGTTACCACCCCCTCTCCCAAACTGTCTTCTTTGGGAGTTTATTTGGGGAGCGGGGCTGGCTGCATAAAGAATTAAACTAGACGTGTACCATAAGGGTACATTTTTGGGTTCTGTGCCAGGTGACGCATGGAATTCTCTCCTTTGCAAATGCAACAACGACTAAGATCTTCTGCATATTAGAGCTTGAGTGTGGGCAATTGTCCCCTCCTAAGAATAGCAATTAACACGGAGTAAGAAAGATGAATCGTTGTGCAATTAATTGGAAACTGGCAGAAAAGGTATTATTTTTTTTTAATCTTTAATTCAGATGACACATTTGTAGCTCTCTTTGGGACTGCCTTCACTGAAGTCTATGCAGTGATCACATTAAAAAGCTTTTAACAATACACGTTTATTTCTTACAGATAAGGTTAAACATTTGTATTGTTTAATAAATGCCTACAACAAACTGGTAACCTTTTATTTATCCTGTATGATTAATTCCTTCTAAATACTACTTATATTAACAATATGCATTCCCATAGGAGACTTCCTTTAGGTGTTCACATTAACCCATGTGGATATTCTTTAGAACACTCACTACATTCCACGTCCTTTGACGTTGTTACTACTGTGACCACCAATTCTACCTGACAAACACAATTCTTTACCTCGCAAGGGTAGGACTTCCCATCGACTGTATGCTCCGATCCCTGGCCGTGAGTTCCCCAGTGGAAGTGAAATTGCTTCAATCTGTATGAGTCATTGAGTGGGCCCCCGCTTATAACTGTATAGAGAAATGAGAGAATGTCACTTTGTGTCACCGAGTTTGACATTGCATTCTGGGACACAGCTCTGAGTCTGCTTCTGGATACTAACAAGATACGAAGCTGTTTTGCTTGCAGGCAAAGAATAAACGTGAATGGTCCTTTGGAGCTTGTGACCAGCTTGATTCTGTACTCTATTCCCTACATTGCTCTGAGAGCTTTTAGAATTTGCACTGCAATTATGTTTTGAAAATTGTTTAATAAAAGCTATTTGAAAAGAGGTTTGTGAACTACACTGGCAAAGGATGATGGAAAGTGTAGTCCGCAATGCCAAAGTTAGCCATCCTTGGCTTTGGATTTACTGATCCCTTGACCTTTACTTCACCTGGCCAACAGACAGTTTAATTTAATAAATAGCTCATTAAGTGTTGCCCCTAATTTCAACTAAGGAATTTTATAATACCTGTAGGAATAGGGATATTATACAGGAAACCCTGGCACACCTTCAAAACCGCATGCAAAAATTATAAATTAAAGAAACACTCCAAACACCATAACAATGACAGCGTGATGTGGTGGTTGTGGTGCCAAGAGTGCCCTAGTGCCCCCCACAGCTGGACTTTGCCCAGAGCTGAGAGTCTCCCCTCTCTAAAGTGGCAGAAGAGGCAGGCAGCAGCACCTGGCGGACTCCAGGTAAGTAGTCAAACCAATCTAAAATAGTTTGACTATTTACAATAGAGGAGCTCCAGGGCACTCCAGCACCATAATCACTACAGGTTAAAATAGTGGCTATGGTGTTTGGAGTGCTTAATGTAACCCATTCAATAACCATTGTAATTTGGGAGATAGTGCTCATTTAGAAAAAAAATTAAACTTGGCTGTAGTCAGAATTTGCTTATTTTCTCCCAAATTTTGCATTCTGGTTTTCATTTCACTACAATCCAGTGAATATACCCCTTTATTGAGTTAAAGGCAGAGGACGCTAGCCTTTCAGCATTCTTTATCGGACTCCAAGGCAGAGAGTGTAGCAGCGTGTCTGATCATCTCATTATCTTCTGCGGAGATTTAGTACTGCTTGGGGAAATGTGTACCAATCAGGGAACAAACACTGGATTTATTACAATTAAGAAAGGTAATCTTTCATAACCCATTTCCAAAATACCCAGTGGAGCAATTTAACAACTGGCAGAAACTATTTTAATCTAATTAGAGATTTCAAATGAACAATATCTCATTCAGCCCAGATTGTTGTACACCGTGTATTTAATCTCTGCATTTAGCAAAATACACCGGCCCCCTTGGTCCCATCACAATGACGGTGATTTGTAGTAAAAAAAAAACAATTTTTTTGAACCAGAAGTAGAAATTACGTAAAATCAACGTGATTCCATCAATAATGCCCTCAATTTGTTGTACCTCCATGTTTGAGTGTTCCTTTAGAAAAAATATTACTGCTTCACAACTCTTGTTATGGTCAATTGTTGCGTATAAGGAGGATACATCGCACGTCACCAACAAATAACCAGGTTTCCAAATAATATCTTTGAAAACTTGCAAGATGTTAATTGTGTATTGTAAATAGTACTTTCTCTATTGCACAATAGTTTGCAGACATATATCAATATATTCCGACAATGGGCTGGAAATAGAATCAGTACCTGAAATTATTATTTTTATTATGTTTTATAATACCTGAAACTATTATTTTTTTTAATTCAAGTATTGATTCCATTTCCAGACAATTGTCGTAATATATCAACACTTTGTATCTCACTATTTTTGAGATTTGCAGTTTGCATTACTTGTTCAGTGTGTTGAAGGAGAATATATACCAGAGTGTTATTTTGTGTGTTTTTTCACGGTTTTCTGCACATATACTTTCAATTTTCTCACTGTTTTGACAAGAGACATAAACATGTCCAATGACCGGAAAGGGCAGAGCACTCTGTTCTCACATTTAGCTTAAAACAGTAGTATGGCCTTCTACATTTATTTTTATTTTCTAGACCGCTCAAACATATATATACATTGAATTCGGGAACGCTAAAACATAATATTTAATATATAATAAACGTCCAAAAGGCTTGGTTATAATTACCCGGTGCTTGATCCACACATTCCAAATATTTGCAAAAACCATCAGCACCTCCAGGGATTCCTTATAAATCTACTTTATTTATAATCCAAAAGATACAAAGGTTTCACATAATAAAGTCGACGTTTCAGTTAGTCTATCGATCTTTCCTCAAGACATGTTGATAGATGAACTGGAACGTCGACTTGATTTTTTTTTTTTTTTTAAGTGATAGTTCCCCTTTAAGGTGAAGCAGGATGAATCTGTCAGCTTGATTTCGGTGTGTAGGCTACTTGCTGATTTATATTTTTAGAGAACAATACATACTGTAGGGTTTGGTGAATTTTGTCACAGCTCACTGTATCCAGTATTACAGCTGTACATTTTATTTTCTCTAAAAGAGAGAAGAGCTATCGTTTTCGAATGACCGATCAATTTGTTTCTTGGGGGGAGGCAAACTTTGTCTCTCCCACTGTTGTAGACTCCATCTCCCATGATGCTTTGCCAGCATTATGTCTGTATTATGGGAGATGGAGTCCGTAACACCTGGAGTGCCGAAGGTTGCCTGTCACTGGTAGATAATCATTGTTTATAGTGAGGCAACAGTCTGTGCTTTTTACCTGTTTGATTATCAAGGTCATCGAATTCCACCATGACGGAATGGCCATTGTTGGAGATATTGATTGAGGTGCAGTGATCGTATGAGAGAACCAGGGGGTTTAGGCTGGGATTGAAGACGGCCTGGTTGGCGATTATATTGATGGGAGACTGGCGGTTTCCCTGTGCGATGGGGAAATAACGGTGCCATTCGGAGGGCCCTAGAGATTAAAAAACAAAGGAAAAAAAGACTTAATTTAACCACATAATACAAGCTCCTAGAAACCCAACCTTGTGTATAACCATAAACGTACGTACCAATGGGACGATACCATTTATAATATGTATTCAGCAATTCATTCAGTAACACTTTTTTTTTTAAATCAATGCATTTTTCATGGCTGTGCTGGTACAGATATTCTGATAAAGCTTGTGGCATACAGCTCACTCATTATAGACATAAAGTATGCATTAAAAAAAATTATAATTGTATTACATGTTATGGGCACTCCTAAATATATATGCGGTAACTCACTTACCTGGTAATTGTCGAGAAGAACTAAGAAGCAAATTCCAAAATTCTAGCAGTTTTTTCTATTTTGGCCTTAAATTTGCAATATCCTTGTCAATTCTCCACGATTCCTACTTTCCTGAAGAAATTGTCTTTTCATCCTGCGGCTTGCTTGGTCACCAACTGATTTAAGTTTCTATGCTAAGGGCAGGACATTTGTGGCTGATACTGAACTAAACGTCCCGCAATGCATCGCAATGTTTAAATGGGCTTACATTTGTATAGGTAGCTGTACATTACCGACTGCCTTTGTAAATTCAGACATTTATACTTAACAATGGTTCTTCTGTCCATTATGCATACATCATCGTTAACATTTATAGACCCCTTGTAGTAGTACACCAATAGACATTGTAGGGATAATTGTGGGACAAAATATAAAAAAAATGTTACGTCTGGGTTTAGGGACTGCAGCCCAATATGTAGGCTGCTTTAGAGATAGATCTGATCAGGTGGGGGTACATACGTATACCTTTCTGGTAATTTACTTTCTGTGGGCTGGGAGTGTCCTTACACTGTCACACTGGAGTTCATATTGAGGTGGAGTTGCAAGTTACATAGTAGCTTAACCCCTTAAGGACACAAGACATGTGTGACATGTCATGATTCCATTTTATTCCAAAAGTTTGGTCCTTAAGGGGTTAAACATTGTATTTCAATGGGTGTGGGGGGGATACTGCCAGTATTAGAATATCAGGGCAAGGGCAGTGAAATAGGGGCACGGGTGTTCGGAGGAAAATTAGGTGGTGCAAAGAAGGCGAATTAGTGGCACTGGATTGGGGAGGAGAACGTGAGATTGTGCCACTGTGTGAGGAGGAGAGAGACCTGGGGGCACTGCCTGGTAATTGTTGAGGGTTGGTGACAATTACCTGGGTTGGTGCTTAAAGTTGGCACTGGGTTGGAAAGGAGATAAGGCAGAAGGATTTGACATGGTGGCATGTTTTGGGCACAGGATGGCAAAAGAAAACAATTTAGTCTAAGAACGGCACAACTGATGGTCATTAATGGGTGAGTTTGGGGAGCAGGCATGGACTTGGGGGATGGGTCAATCATTTTTTTCTTTGGTCTCAAGACCCTTTGCAGCCTGTGTGCAAATCCATTTACTCTAGGCTTTCCTGTTTGTAAAGCAGTGATGTTACCCAGAAACAAACATTTACACTTAAATCCAGAAGCGTGTTCCCTCGCTGAAACCCTACATTTTTTTTGATCCAAATGCCACTCTGACACTTCTACTGACTATTAAACACCAGACTCAGTGATCCCAGCATGAAGCCAGATTGAACTAATTTATCCCCTATTGTTGTTAATAGGCATTACAGCCCCCCTGCAGCAATTTGTTCCCAAGGAATTAAAATGGAAAATTTAAATCTGTCTTAATACACAGAACAGAAATAAATTAACCTGATCTGCTCTAAAAATGATATTTCCTGGCCTTGGTTTCCCAATCTTTAAATCTTTATTGTGGAGAATTGGTAGGGGGATTGTACAGTTCAGACTAAAATAACAACTGAAAAACTGAGCAAAGTTGGCAAAATGTTCAACAGATTTCAAGGGATTCATATTTTAGGAGCACCATATGGTTATTCGAATTGTCTCAATCCACTGTGGCAATCAAAAGGTTAAGACCAGGAATGAGTCAGAGACAAAGCTGACAATATTTTGCACGTTTTCTATAAAACGCCTCCAATAATCAGAAGGTGTAACATAGTCGACAGTAATTACAGTTTAGTCGTGAGTTTCCAATTTTGTAGATATTTTTACTAAAATAATGTCATGTTGGCTGTGAGCAAAATTGTAGTTTTTGGGAATAACTTTGCATAATTTGATACAGTGAGCTTTCTTTAATGAGGCGCTGAAGAAACAAGAGTTACATTAAAGAATTCTGCCCTCAGATCGCACTCTGCAAAGCATAATGTTACCAGTTGATTTAAAATGTGCCATCCTTAAACCCCAGGCTCGAACCTGCCAAAATTCACAGATTAAATTCATGCTACAGTTAGAGGGATGAAGAAGACTGCCTCAGCTACAGTATCTGCAATCCCACCGGATTACTTAAAGAATAAAAAAAAAAAAAAAATAACACAAAACTGTAGCAGAGACAAAGCCCTGGAGGACATAGAGTCATTAATTAAAGGACCACTGTAGTCACCCAGACCACTTCACCTTAATGAAGTGGTCTGGGTGCCAGGTCCATCTAGGGTTAACCCTGCCTGCTGTAAACATAGCAGTTTCAGAGAAAATATGGGTTAATCCAGCCTCTAATGGCTGTCTCATTGACAGCCGCTAGAGGCGCTTCCGCGCTCCTCACTGTGATTTTCACAGTCAGAAGACGCCAGCGTCCATAGGAAAGCATTGAGAATGCTTTCCTATGGACCGGCTGAATACGCATTCAGCCGATGACATCAGAAGAGGGAGGAGAGTCCCCAGCGCCGAGGGAGCCCGGCGGGGGAAAACAGGTAAGATTTAACCCCTTCCTCACCCTAGAGCCCGGCGGGAGGGGGCCCTGAGGGTGGGGGGGACCCAAGGACCCTATAGTGCCAGGAAATATAGTGGTCCTTTAAGTAGATCGCTCTATTTTGAATGCTTTTTTTGCTAAAACTGACTGGTAAAATAAACCCCCCCCTCCATGCCCCCAACATATAGAATCTTGCCATTACCTAAACACATACCAATTTCAGTTTGGCGTATCCTCTCTTTATCTCAAAGGCTGACCTTGCATCATGTATCAACTGTAGGTATTTAGCAACAGTAAATATACCTGTATATAGTAAGCACCAAATGCTGTTGATGCTTAAACTTTTACTCGTCTTTCCACAGATTTTATTCTTGTTGTTGACCAGGTGTGTGCGGTGGAGGGGCGGGGGCGCCACCGTTGGCAGTCTGGTACCAGCATGCTGTGCGTCAGACACCAATTTTGCACAGAATTAACATTTATTCTTCGACACATATAAATGGAATTTTGCCTTTCCCTCAATGTTTTTGTCCCCCTCCCTCCTTATTTTACAACATATTTTAATTGTTTAGAATTTTGTATCAAAATACTGTTTGGTTCTTTATAAAATAAAAGTGTTCAATTAAAATAATTTGAGAAGAAAGTAGGACACAAACAGTCACCTCGGATTCGAATTAGGTGTCTATGGTCAGTCTGAGACTACAAGAAGTATCAAGGGCTTAACCCTATATGAAACCGAATTCTCAAAGTAAAGGAACAAAAAACACATTAAAACCACATTAAACCCCACCCTTCTGCCATTGACCTGACTGGTAGATAGTGTCACTTCCCCATTTTCAACTCAAATATTTGTACGGATTTGGAAGTACCAAATTACAATTACAGGGTTATCCCAACCTCCACGACTCCTTCAGTGAATTGTAGTGGTTATGGTGCCTGGAGTTTGTATGTTCAACGTTTCGCTTTTATAGACAGAGATTAACCCCCTTGCTGCTGGAGGTGTTACAAAGTCCCAGGCTAATGCCAACATGGCCCCAGTTATAGAAAGAAAACCCCACATGAAGTGGTATATCCCAGCTGGTAATAATGTAACAAGTCTGCTATAGTAATGGAATGGAATAGATGTCTCTATACAGTATAACATACTATGTGATACACACTCCACCAAAGTGCCTGTCTATATTGGGCGAGTTTTCAGGAAAAGGCAGATTAGATCACAGACTATGATTCTCTCTCTATAACACCAACCTTACACATACCCCTTGCCCATTATAGCACCGTGATAAAATATTTATATATAGAAATATTAACACAGTAATAGCAGTTTAGATTTTCAGTAAAAACTCATAATTCCATCAAATACCGCATTTCCCCCCCCCCCACCCCCACTTACTGAATGCAGCCCCCTGGCATCCCTGATATCAATGAGCATCTTTCCTGCTGGCTGGGGATCTTGGGAATTGTAGTCCATACACCGGGGATGCCAAGCTTAGCCATCACTAGTAGTCCCTCTTCCAATCCCAGGCTGCTGCTATTTGCCAATCCCTTGCCCAGTCTGTGCTATCGCTCCATCCTTCCATGCCAGGTGGGTGAGCTCCCTCTCATACCATGCAGGACCACCTACCCCTCCTGTTAACCCCTGGCATGGAATGTACAATGTAACAAGTTAGAAGGATGGAGAGTGGAGGAATGCACTGCTGTGATGCCTGGCTAATGCAGGGAGGAATGTGCTAGGCAGAGAGAGGTTCAGCTACAGAAATAAAGGGATTAGAATGGTTTATTCCTACCGTCATCCTCTCCATATCCCCAGCAGTGATGGCCAGTCATAGTCCCAGTGACAGGCTGTCAGGATCAGGATCAGTGGCTGTGACTGTGCTCAGCCTGCCTTTATACAATGCTTTGCTGCACACAGCACCTGCACAGCCTCTTAAAGGGACAGCCAGGGAGGTGGGTGGGTGGGTGTGTGTGTGCTCAGCATCAACAGAGGGACTGGCACTGCCCCCTGACCACAGGGAGAACAGACTGGACAGGGCTAGCAAAGGGTTAATGAGATTAAATGGGGGTATGGAGCTCCCCCTTCAACAGATTGTATGGATGTACCTGAAAGCCACCTTTGATACATTTATTACATATGTTTGATATGATAGTACAAAAATGAAAGCAATCATTACTTTAGGTTAATAGCTGGATAATAAAACTTGAAATTGGGGATTTTAGCAAAGTCTCAGAAAAATTTTAATATTTTTTGTTTTTGGGAAAAAAAAGGTGCATTATATTATTGATCATGGAAGGGTTAAGGGGTGCTGGAAAGGGCATGAGGATGTGAGCCTACAGTATGTATATACAATTATTGTTTTTTTAAATATAATAACTTCAACTTAGTAACAGGTTATTTCACTGGTACAGAAAGAGTTAAAGGGCCGCACTGATTTACAGCCTAGTCAGTAGTATGTAGAGATTATATTAATTATCCTGGGCTATAAGCTATTTTACATTGAAAGCGATAATGTCAGGTTACATTTGGTGGAGTGTTTGTGTAGGGGCTTCATTAAATGAATTGTTTTTAAAAAAGACAACAAATATTTATTCCCTGTCGGTATCTTGCAGGGAGGGGGCGTGCTGATTTTTGGTAGTCCGGTGTACTGGGAGTCCGATCTGCACTTCTGTCTGTGTTTTTTGCTGTGGCTGTATTGACTGTGTTTGATATCGGTGATGATGAGTATTTTATTCAGATTTTAATAATGGATGTAGGCCAGTGTGTGAATGCAGGTGTGTGTTTTTGGAGTGTCAAACACACACACACACAGTCAGATGCACACAATTATGAACATATATTGTCAAATACAGCCACATACACACAGTCCCAGGTACATCGTCACTCGCGCACACACAGAGTTACAGACAATCACAAACAGGGTTACAGACAGTCTCACACACACAGACACACACAGTTACAGTCACACACACACAGACACACAGTTACAGACAGACACATACACACATAGTTACAGACAGACAGTCTTACACACACAGACACACACGTTTACGAACAGTCACACACACACACACAGTTACAGTCACACACACACACACAGACACACAGTTACAGACAGACACATACACACATAGTTACAGACAGACAGTCTTACACACACAGACACACACGTTTACGAACAGTCACACACACACACACAGTTACAGACAGTCACACACACAGTTACAGACAGTCTTACACACAGTTACAAACAGTCACACACACAGTTACAGACACACACACACACAGAGACAGACAGTCTTACACACACAGACATACAGTTACAGACAGTCACCCTACAGGCTGGGGCACCCTAAAGCCAGAGGACCTCATGCGCCATAACCTATAGCCGCAGGACATATAATTATTCTGCTTGGGGTGTCCCTTTAAACTGTGTCCTTTAGTAATATAATTTAACACAATTTCATTTAAATGTTTATTAAACATCCCATATCGCTTCGATCACTCCCAGGGATTCCCTTTCCAATTTAAGATGGATCATTTTGCTGTAAACCAGTTAAAGAGAACAATATCAGCAGGTAATACAATAGGTATTGTGTGATCATTTCACATGCTCTCAGGAAAGGCAGTCAACAGCCATTATTTTGGATTGATCCTTCCTAACTGGTTCTAATGTTGATTTAAGATCAGTTCCCTTGTTGAAAGAAGTCTCTGTGGATACTCTGTATTATCTAATCTCTCAAAAGTCCTCCAGTGTTGTAATCAAAGCAAAATTTAATTGATTTCTCTGACTTTACAGCCGGCTCTTCATTCAGTGATAATTTAATTACCAGAAAGTGAAAATCTTTGTCTTAGCAGGTGACTGTTATATAACAATGCTTTAATTAGCAATCAGGGAAATGTTTATTTGTAATCTAGGTACTCTCTGTATTGTTTTACGGAAACCCACCTAGTGTCCACCTATCCAGTTAGGTTTATTGTATGCTAATCAGTGATTGATGGACAGAAAGAAAATAGATAGTATCCTTTGTATCTAGAAAAGAGTGTGTTTATTATATCCAGGCAAATGAATCTATAGCAGTAATTCCCAAATCGTTCCCCAAGACCCACCATCGATTCTGGTTTTCTCCACAGCTCCATGATTCAAATACTGATTCTTGCTGTAGTGGTTATGGTGCCAGGAGTGCCCTGGTGCCTCCGAACCCCATTGTAAGTAGTTAAAACATAATTGAACAGTTTGACTTTTTAATTGGGGTCCACCAGACATTGCTCCCCACCTACACTACTAATGCTGAAAGCCTGTTATCTCTCCTGAGCTACACTCCGCAAAGCAGGGCTTAACTCATTGGCTGATAAAGATCAGCAAGCTGTTAAGGAATGCCCTGTTCTCCGGGATTAGTAGTGGAGGCAGGCTAGGAGCAGCCAGGTGGACCGCAGGTAAGAAGTCAGACCATTCAATAATGGTTTGACTACTTACAATGGGTGAGTGGAAGCTAGGGCACTATTGACACTATAATCACTACAGCATGATGCAGTGGTTATGGTGCTTAGAGTGTTCCGTAAACTTTGATTGCACCGGAAAATGCAAATGTGCATGTTGGGCTGCTATGTGGCTCAGCTAAACTGACATTGGCGTACAAGAATATAAGGCACAGCAGTATGGCGGTGATAAATATTGGACACGCGGCCTAAGCTGCGAGGAATTTACAATGTTTTGTAACACCATATGCCATGATAATAACACCCATGCCATGAGTAGATATTTCCTGGGACCCTTGTATATCATGATTATTGCTGGTATATACAATATGTGCTGGAATAGGCTAACTGCTTTAGAAAGCGATATGAACAGGCACTCATACATATCAGGATTTTTACAAGAGAACTCGGTCACAGGGCACAGATGTACTAAAAGGGTTTATTATGCTAACACCTCTCTTGTTTTATGAACTTCTGTACTAGTCCTTTTTCTGTAGTAAAAATATGCATTACTTCTCTTTATCCCAAGGGCATGTCACTGCGGTCATAAAACAAGTCCGTTTAACCTTCATTGATCTAAGAGGTCACAGAGAGACCTATCCTGTGCTAGGACAGACTGTCATTGGATCACTGCGTTCTGAAAGATGCAGGCACTTTTTAGTATTGATGAAATTTTATAGTTTTTTGTTTTTCTATTGTTTCTGTGAAATATAAAATATGTTGTTTTGTTTTTTTTACCAGAATGTAATGATAGTAAAGTTTATTATTATTACTGTCATTTATAAAGCGCCAACATATTCCACAGCGCTGTACAATGGGGAAGGGGGGAGGGAGGGGGTAGAAGGCCCTGCTGGTGAGCTTAAAATCTGGATTAATTAAATTTTTTATATAGTGCTATCAATATATCTGTCCCAGGTCACACAGAAATGTTTGTTTGTTTTGTTTTTTGTTTAAAAAAGCACAACAAATAATTAACATTTACTTTATTTAAGCTGTACGAATATCATGATACAATGATGATAGCTCTACTGTAATGCTGACATGATTCATGGATTTTTGTGAAAAATATTGAAACAAATCTGGTAAGGCCAGCAGCCGTTTCATCCATGCTTTTTCATAAATGGACCTGATGCATCGAGATTTATGGATTGATTTTACTCCATTTGAAAATAATGGGATGGCTAGGATTGACTGACCGGTGTCCACTACCTCCTATTTAACCTATCGCAGGATGCGGAAAATCCAGAGAGTTTGCACACTCACTTCATGGATAAAAATCTCATTGTATCGTTTCAGGATCATGTATTTAATGATATAATAAATTTAAAAATGGTTAGTCTGTGTCACACTAAAGCTTGATGTTTGCTCCAAAACTAAAAGTAATGACATTTTTTTTATATAGAAATATTATTGTCATTACTCAACTACTTTGCTATAAGTTTACCATTTTATCCGTATCCCTCATCCCATTATTTACTAAACCTGCTGGGTGTCCATTATGCTTACCCATGTTAACCCATTTGCTCACATAAGACCTTTCCATTTTGCTCATTTTTAACCCTTTATCTTGTTTAGAATATATGTCCCATTTCAGACCAGCTATGACAAACCTGCTTGAAATTTGGGGTAAGTCATTCACTCATTATCGGGGGAGAAAATAATGGTGTTACCTTCTGAACATTTGTCATCATTTTATATTGAATATATTAATGTCTATACCGTTTAGTTTGTTGTGTGTGTGTGTGTGTCTGTGTGTAGTTTTCTGATCTTCTACTGAAAGCGTGTGAAAAATGATGGCGATAAATTTTAAAATGAGGAAACTTGTCACATTTGTCTGTAGGAAGTTAAATATTCATTTACCAATGCGATGATTCTCATAAATACAGGCAATTAACTTTCTATAAAAATGACAATTGTAAACAACTCACAAAATGTTTTTATGTTCAACAGGCAGAGTGTTTATTACATGCAGGCATTGCTTACACTATACACTCATTTTCTGCGTCCACAAACAGTCATTTAAAGGAAAGTCACTGTTTGTCAAACGGAATTCTTAATAATTGTAGTCATTTTTTTTGTCGGGGGAGGGGGGTGAAAAGGTAAAAGTACTGACTTATCCAACAAAGTTTATTCCCCAGTCTCCGAATTATAGTGAATTACAATCTAAATTACAAAAATTCTTCTTAAAATAGTCAAGCTGGTAATATAGCTGAGTTGTAGAACTTTTCCAGTTTAGTAAATTTCATCATAGATTTTGCAATTCAGAGTCCCCTTCGTTCACTGCAATTCTGAGTTTAGTGAGTACACCTGACTATTTAGTGATTTACCCCCCTTTTGCCTACCTATTTGCTTCTAATCAGTATCATTCAATATCAGCAATCTCTTGTCAGTCTGTGTAATTTAATATTTATACGGTGTAATAGAAGGTGATTGCGGACTCATCTATTTT